AGACTGTCCCCTGCAAGGTGACATACAGTGATGCCCGGTCCAAACACTGGTTCTGGCTCCATGACCTTCTATTTGGAGTCCCTCCCAGAGGCCTGTATTTCTTGTTTTCTTTTTTAAAGTACCCATAGGTACACTTTTATTAATTTTTTATAATCTACAACAAACAAATCTACACACTACAAACACTCAACTACACATAACGTATATACCAAGAGTGCAGTTACATTATATGCTTATATGCAATTACTTAATTAATAAAAACGCTATATCAAACACTTTCCATTCTTCTGTCTTCTGTGTTCTCAAGTTCATTGCGCTATCATTGCCTAATCTTCTATTACATAACTACACATAACGTATATACCAAGAGTGCAGTTACATTATATGCTTATATGCAATTACTTAATTAATAAAAACGCTATATCAAACACTTTCCATTCTTCTGTCTTCTGTGTTCTCAAGTCCATTGCGCTATCATTGCCTAATCTTCTATTACATTTGCATTATACCAATCATAGAACTTTTTCCATGTTTTTTGAAATGTCCACTCTTTGCTTAATCTCATTTCTAAAGTCAGTTTATCATTTTCTGCTGTTTCAAAAAGTTTATTCACAAACTCCTGTTTCATTGCTATCACCATAGTTTTCCAATATTTGGCATATAAGATTCTTGCAGCTGTCGTCATTTAAACAGTCAAATACCTCAGAGGCCTGTATTTCAAAGAACATTTGAATAAAGGGCCCTCTGTACCCAAAATGAGGTTTGGACCCCCAGACTTCATACACCCCCATGTTCAGCGAACTCTCCCCTTCGAGGGGACATATGCTGTGTCCTAGTCCAAAGCGCAGTTCTTGTGCTAGCTGCTCCAAAGTGTGGTGCCCCCAGGGCAGTCACACAGGCAGACACTGGAGCGAGGCTGCACCCCAAAACAATCTTTGGACCACCCCAACTGACAATCCCCACGCTCTGGAGACTGTCCCCTGGAAGAAGATATGACCTTCTATTTGGAGTTCCTCTCAGAAGATTTGAATAAGGAAAGGGGGGAACTTTTTCCCATGCACAGACAGCCCCCCAATTTCAATCTACTCATCACCTTCAATAATACAGCATCTAATTTAAACATGCAGACTGGTATCAGAGCTTGCAACACACCCTGATGCCAACTTTGCTGCCGCAT